GTAGGGAAACCAGCTTCATGTGCCATTTGCCATTCTAGGCGGGTAAAGAGTTTGCCACGTGAAATTACTGTGCTAGTTAGGGAGGAGGAGATTTAGGAATTAATTTGCATCTCTGAATTATTACAGATTGACAACAAACTTTGTAAAATCCTGTAATTTCCTTAGTTCTGTTTTGCACTGGAGTTCAGTCTGAGACCAGTCATGGGAGGGGGCTGGAGGAAAAGAGAAAACGGTGCTTGGGGCACACTGATCCGTGGTGCAGCCACGCTGGGTTTGAAGCCGCCCTTGCCTGAGCACCCTCTGCTGTGTAGGGAGCCGTGAGAAGCACTGGGCTGGCTTCTGCAGGGACACTGCTTGCAGGCCAGCCATGGGTGGGCTCTGGTGTGTAGACCGGAGGAGCTCAGAAAAACACGGGGCAGGGGTGCAGCCAGGTCTTTGGTGGGTGAAAGAAGATTTTGATTCCACCAGAATCTTCAGAATTTTTCCACAGAAAGTTCAGTGCTGTCTCCTGAGATGAGATGAACTTGGTATTTCTTTGCATATGAGATCTGTCATGCTTTTTGTCAGTAGTACTACCTACATTTGATTCTTCACTGTGCTGTTTGCAGTTCATCTGTATTGTTTACTGTGAAAACTCAGACTACAAGTCTGCTCTTGGTTCCCAAATTTGCATTTGCAACCACACTTATACAAGGTTGCTGACTGCTGTTTTGCCAATCGACGAGGATAGCACAGAGGACACAGGCACCAAAAAAAAGTAAACTTGTTTTTCCTTATGTCCAAAGTGACAAAGTAATAAGGAAAACAGTACAGAAAAAATAAAGCAAGATAAGGTAAAGCAGCAAGACAACAAACAAACTACTACAGCAAGCACAAAAATAAGGTAATGCACCTAATCATTGCTACATAGAGTTAGCGATAGTGATTAAGAAAGATACCTCACCAATTGCCCTATATTACCATCATCCAGATCCGCAGATGCTGGGGAGCCTGTTTACAGCGAAGGATTTGAAGAACTCATCCTGGCGGAAATCTCTATCCAGTGCGTCCACTGTGTAGATGAGGCTTACAAATTTCCCTGCAAAGTCCCTGCTTTTATACCGTTAAATAAACAATTTTATATCTTAAGCTGCGAAAAACATCTGGTGTAGTTTTTTTTTCTTTCTTGCTAACTTTTTCCTGCGCTTGGCCAGAGCCCGAGAAAAGGTTAAGAAGTTAAGGTGTCTGGTTATCTTTGATTATGCGTCTTTAAACAATGCCCGTCACTGCCCTGCTACCTTCTGTCATGTAGAGGTCTGTTTGAAGGTTTGAGATAGGTTTATCTCTCTTTGGCAAGAGGGGCTACTGTTACACAACTTATTACTTTACAGTGAGCGTTACAGCAATTCTCTATAAGCGTTACAACAAAAGCTTTTAGAAATTGCCATATATTCATAAGGTTATACATTGCATATGTGATCAATATTATACATATTAGGTATATTGTTAGGTTGTGAGGTTCACCTAGAGGTCAACTTTGGTTCAGGGCCTCACTGCTCAGGCCCTAGTATTTCAACTGCTTCCTTTTACCTCTGCCCGAGAATGCTACGTACCTGGATGACAGCTGCAGCTTTGTGTCTGAGCTCTTGTCTGGCGTATAGACAGTGCTTTGAGTGACATGTTCCATCAAACTGATTGCTCAAAAGGACATTTCTGAATGAAATCTCCACCTCCCAGCCTCTACTGGGTCTGAAAGGGATGGTGACTATTAGCATATTGTAGCATAGTGATGTATTAAATACAGTCAAGAATGGGAACACTCCTCATTTTCTGGGATCAGGAGGCGTGGTAGGAAAGAAGGGAGGAGACAAATTCAGAAAGCTTAAGTGTGACGGGAAGAGTTAAGAAGAACGATAAAGAGTCATTTCAACACACAGGTTCATAGCAGTTTTCTCAGTGATAAGAGTAGTTTGGAGGTTTGAAATGATAGGTGTATTTCTCATATCCCTGGTTTTGTTTCTTCTGGGTGCGGAGTTCCTGAAATTGCAATGGAAAAGTCGTGGACTTCCTCCTGGACCAGTCCCATTCCCCATCATTGGAAGCATCTGGTGGATGAATTTTAGAGCTGATTATGAGAGCCTGAAAAAGGTACGTGTTTGTAGATGTGAACTAAAGAGCTATTGAAGCAAAAACTGTAGAAACTGCTGATGGCTGTTGATAGGCTAATGTGGTAGCAGGGAGAACTTAATCCTGAGGGAAGGTGAATCATGGAAGTTAAATGAAGTGCCCAAACAAGTTAAGTAAAATCTGCAGGCTGTCTAATTCATGTGAAAGCTAATTATCTGTGTAAGTTAAACAGAACAGAGACAATAATTTTGCCTCAAAAAAAACTTCTGTTTTTAAGTGGGGCTTTTTGCCTTGAAAGAAAAAAGTGTTTCTCAGATTTCCCACCACAAGTGCATACAGAAAATCTACTAAAGCAAGGTGTCTTGAATTCAGAAGATGTGAAAAGCACACTAATACGTCTTCTGCTCTCATGGGATGGAAACAAGATTGTACCCTATAAGCAGCCAAAACCTTAGATCCATCATTTTTCTCAAGTCCAGTCTGGGAATTGCTGCTTGCAGATGAGATAGGGATATAAATGATGGTGCAAGGAAGGAATTGATGGGAAGAATTCGGTCCATGGTAAGCATGTTAATACAGGTTCTTTTAGTGCTCAACATTCTCCATTGAGCCAAAACTTCATGAAAGAATCTAATGTGTTTATATATTTTTCAAGTTTACCTTTCCTTAGGTGCTAAGTGCAACCTGAATGTCAGGGAGTACCTGGCTGCAGCTGGAGAATGTTGGCTTCAGGAGAAGGGAAATTAAAAGACCTTGATGCTAAACTTTTGTGTTCAGTTTTGGGCCCCTTACCACAAGAAGGACACTGAGGTGCTGGAGCAGGTCCAGAGAAAGGCAACAAAGCTGGTGAAGGGTCTGGAGCACAGGTCTTATGAGGAGCGGCTGAGGGAGCTGGGGGTGTTTAGTCTAGAGAAGAGGAGGCTGAGAGGAGACCTTATCACTCTCTACAACTACCTGAAAGGAGGGTGTAGTGAGGTGGGTGCTGGCCTCTTCTCTAAAGTAACAAATGATAGGACAAGAGGAAATGGCCTCAAGTTGCACCAGGGGAGGTTTAGGCTAGATATTAGAAAAAAATTCTTCACTGAAAGAGTGATCGGGCATTGGAACAGGCTGCCCAGGGAAGTGGTGGAGTCACCATCCCTGGAAGGGTTCAAAAAACGTGTAGATGTGGTGCTGAGGGACATGGGTTAGTGTGTTAGGTGGTGTTGGGTGATGGTTGGACTTGATGATCCTTGAAGTCTTTTCCAACCTTAATGATTCTATGATGTGTATATGTTCATCACCGTGGAAGGACAGAGCTGTACAGTTTCTTTGCCAAGAGTCAGGGACTTTGTCCTTGCTGAATACCCACAGGCTTGCCTGAGAGCAGTCCCCATCACTGCCTAAGCACAGGTGGTATCTGTGCTCAGATGCCTCAGCTGACAGTACTTCTGTAGAAGAGGGGAAGAGGTCCTGCCATTAAAACTTCAAATTGGAAGTACTAGAACGAGAGTTACACCTGGAATATGTAATTTCAATAAGTTCTAGTTGTTGGCTGAGGAAATGAAATATGAAGTTGAAAAATGTAATCAAGAACGGGCAGGTAAAATTTCATGTGAAACCTAATTCGGATCTGTAAACACTCTGTCAGGGACTTTTTCCTAATTGTTAATATTGTTAATATCGCAAAGGCAACCCAGGCCAAGTTTTATCCAAGTCTATTCTTTTATCATTCACGTTGCTGTGAATAGTGGGTTCCCAGGGAGAGCCCAGAACCTTACTGTGGTAAACACTTCCACTACGAAACAAAACCACTGTCCCTTTGCATTTCCTGAACCCCTGAGTAACGTCATGCTGGAAGAGAGCAGCCCATCATGTGTGTATTTTGGCTGATGTTTCTCCCATGGGTATTTTTTTTGGCATTGCTGGCAACCTACAGCTGGCTAAAAGCTATGGCAACGTCTGTACCCTGTGGCTGGGTCACAAACCTGTGGTGATTCTGTGTGGATTCCGAGCCGTGAAGGACGGTTTCACCACCAACGCAGACGATACTTGTGGGCGACTACAGACCTATGTCTTCGATAAAATGTCGAATGGAAAGGGTAAGATGTTCATATCTGCGGAGGGACTTCATCCTTGACTTTCTTTGTTTCCCCTCATGTTTTCCTTACCGTCAAGCCCTTAGTTCCCGGTTCACCCATGCTGTCTGCTCACGATGAATGATATAATTCTGCAGCATTACTAAGGTGTCTCCAAAGTCCCACTGTCACACATGTATTTCAGAATCTCATCAGAGCAGCAATATTTGTACCTAGCTAGGTCTTGTTTGTCCATTCTTAGTGTTGTCTACATGTGTGTCCTGATTTGAAATAATCTGAGGCTGAAGGAATTCTTTATGCTCCCAGTTGTTTGTTTACAGCAGAGGCTGCTGTAAGGAAAGCATGTACAGAACTGGTGAACAACATCTAGGTTTTTGGGATGTCCAAAGTCACAGGAAGGTCACTGGAGCTTTAAATGTGTTAGCCAGACTGTAGGTGCAGCATAGCCTTGTTCAGAGCTGCTTCTTGTGCTATTGTTTACATCAGATGGAGAATAAAGAGGGTGCTGGGTGTAATGCAGGAATGATGGAACTTGTTTCCACCAGCTTCTTATCCAGAGGATATAGAGCAGATGCCTTTATTCTCAGTCAGGCTTTGTTGCATGTGGACTGCAATCTGGAAAGCTTTAATTTATAATACTAACTGATGTAAGAAGCGAAAAACATCTTTAAGAAGTAGAGATGGTTAAGTCTGGAGCCATTTCAGTCTATTTGGAAGGGTCTCTTTTGCCACCTGTCACCTGGGTGATGTAGAATAAAACAGGGACACAGTAGCTGGGCTGCGACAAGCTGCCCCAGAACTAGCAGTTTGTAGCAGGGATGGCTTTAACAAACAGCTGCAGCACAGCTGTGAGTTGGCAACTCTCTGCAACACAGGTACCTGCCTGTTGCTCTGGCTCCTTTTCTGCTAGCCCAGGCTCCCAGGACGACAGAAGGACCAGGGGAGAGTTATTGCAGACTGTGGTCATGCAGCTGTCTCAGGGGGTAAGCTGGCTTTCCCAGGGGCAGCATGGGCTGGACTGGCGGAGGGAAGTGGTTCCCCACCGTGTGGATTAAATGGTTTATGCTGGGCTGTCTGCTAGAACATGGGCTCACAGCACAGGGGCCTGGGATTCCGTCCTGTCCCACAGTGAGACCTCTGGTTGTAGGAGGCTGTTTGTAGAGTGGCTACAGCCTGCTCTTCCTACTCTGGTTTTTGATAGGTGGTTCTGGTCCTGGCTTCATTGTCTTTCCAGGAGGGACCTGGACCAGAACGAGAGCTTGATATCTGGTGTAACAAGCAGAGCCACCTAAAAGCCAGAGACTGTGTAGCACAGACAACATGTGCTCAGAATCAGTTATCAACTGTAGCCATTAAAGTTTTTCTTTTTGAAGCACTACCAGCAGGGCAATGCAATGATCTCCAGAAGGTTTGCATAAGGTGAAGAAGCACAAGCATAGAAGTGCCCAGACCTCCGCAGTGAGCTCTGCAGAAATCTCTGTTGGCTATGAGTAGCTTGGTGAGAGATTCCAGGTGGTAGAAACCTGAACTTACTGCTTGTTGAGGAAAGCTGTCTTTGCTGCTCCTTCAGAGTTGACGTGTGGCAGTATCTGCGAGAACACAAAGTCTGTATGGGGACGTTGGCAAACATAGCTTACAAGTAAGTATTAATTGTATTAGAAGATTGTACAAGATATGCATGAGCTCGGCTGTAAGCCTTTCTGTGTGATAAGGGTTTAGATTCATTTCTGCTTGAAGCATGGGCAAATAGGAGGCAAGACCAACCCACACTGTCTTTGCAGCAAGCAGGCTGCTGGGTGGAGTTTGAAGTAATGACCACTGTTCTTGGACACTTTAGAAAGCCTAGGGCTAGTTTTGGAAGGCAGGTGTGTGAGTCCTGAGATTTTTGCAGGGATGGGAATATATTAACGAGGGTGTTTTCTCTGTCTCTAACAAAATACAATTCAAAGAACACTGCCTTGATGTGGCTCTCTTTATGAGCGGCAGCATGATGAGGAGATGACTCTTAACGTGTCTGTCAGTTACTATCATATGAACATTAACGTGACATAAAATTGATTCTTGTTGGCTGAAGGTATCCTGGTCTCAAGTGGCCTCATCTGGAAACGTCAGAGACATTTTGGAGTTGTAACTCTCCGAAAACTGGGAATGGGGAATAAAGGAATGGAGCGTGGGATACAAGCTGAGGCTCGTTACCTGATTGAGTTCTTCAGGGACAAAGAGGGTATGCCATTGACAAGGTGCTTGGGAACTGCATTTGGGCTTTTGATATAATACGTAGCCTGCATGACTCAAAGGGTAAAGACTATTTTTTGCTGCGGAAAAGAATGGGTTTGGAGCACAGCTTAGATTTAGAGTGCAATCAAGACCATCTGTACAGTCAGACTTCAACAATGTGTATTTTGGTGTCAACACCAAGATCAAGATTTAAAAAAAAAAAAAAAAAGGCAAATAAAAAAACTGCCAAGGCTGGGAGTTTAAAGACTCGAGGCCTTCCTGTCCTCATTTTTGAACGAAGTTCATCTTTTGTTACGTTCGACAGTGAATTTTGGGTGCTTCAGTGTAACAGTCTAAATAGCGTAGAGGACATCTATTATAAAATGTCATAGTGATTGTGCTTCCAAAATAGCAAAGGAGATAAAGAAAGTGCTTTGGAGATGAATGTTTATCTCTGTCTGCAGGAAGAGCTGTCGACCCTTCTTTCCCCATCGTTCACACTATCTCTAACGTGATCTGTGCTGTGGTATTTGGACATCGTTTCTCCCGAGAGGATGAAACCTTCCACCAGCTGATTGAAGCATATGACTCTATGGTGGCTTTTGGGAACAGCCGCCTTTACTATGTAAGAAAAGTATTTAATATGCAAATTAAATTAATATTGAACACATTATTGCCTTATTATACAACACAATTACATTATTATATATCATTATATTTATTGCATTATTTAATACACATTAAATGCTGATAAGAGTTCTATGAATATGAACTGGACCTGCAGTGTTTTTGGGTTTGACATCATTCTAATAATCTTAGAATTTCTCAGCAAAGGCGATGCACTTGGGATGCTGAACTTTTCTGTAATGGAAACACCAGTATCGTTAAGGTGAAAAGGTGGTACTCTTTTATCAGAATAAAAGAGAATGATTTTTTTGTTTCCTGTGTGCTAAGGTAATGTATATATTAACATTTATTAATATTAAATTTATTAATACATGTTAAATCTATATGCAAAAATGGATTCGTTTGTTGGTGAATTAACAGGGCAAATGTAAGTAGAGTTATGCAGTAAGGATAGAAAAGAATCCAGGGTAGAAACTGTGTTGTCTTTGATTTGGGGTTTTAATGTGCGTTCGTGTACTCAGCATGTACCCAACGTTTCTCTTTGACGCTACAGTATTTTTCCTAGAGCAGTTAACTCAGCAATTTAGCACCAAAACTGTCCATGCTGTATCTCTATAATAGCCTTACTCATGTCATTAACTTCTGTGTTGAATGCTTGCTCCACAGCTATGTGAAATTTTCCCATGGCTTGTAGCTCATGTCCCAGGACCTGCACGGAAAGCATTACTTTCCTGTGATGTTGTTCGTTCTTTCATAAGGCAGGAAGTCAAAAGCCACAGGGAAAGGGGCACAATAAACGAACCAGAAGATTTCATTGACTTTTACCTCGATCAGATAGAGAGAGTGAGTAATTTATACTGTATGTGTCACAGATCCTGTCGTAATGGATTCCCTGCACCTTTCCCACCATTATCTGCACCTAACAACATTACTACAGAGCTCTACAGATAGAGTTTAAAAACTCTGTTGTCCAATTCAAATATGAACTTTCAATAGTTAGTTTGATAACTTGCTTTAGAAGTATAAAGTAATTACGTTGGTTTGTTGTTATACTGTGGAGTAGATGTGGTCTATCTTGATTTCAG